GGCACGGAGGGTGGTTGCGGCCGCTACTGGGTCGTCCACTGTACCGGGTTCTATTTAGGGGGTCGAGGTGCGTATTTTGGTGGACTCCGGTGCGCCCGTGACCATTATTTCGGACGTCATTTTCCATCTCTTGGGCATTCCGCCGGGGAGAGTGCGACCGGTTTATGATTCGTGCATAGCGGCGAACGGAGGAAGTATGGGCATTGTGGGCCAGGTGGACGCCAACATATCGATTGGGGGGGTGTCGGCTTCAGGGACCGTTTTGATCTCTAGGTTCCTCGCGGTACCCTGTTTGTTGGGGACCGATTTCCTGGCAAAAATGCCCATTCAAATAAGAGTTGATCAAAATTGCATTTAATTACCAGGGGGGCGGAAAATTTCGTTCTTGCCGTCGCCATGGGGACGGTCTGCCCATGTTTACCAGGTACAGGCGCTGTCCGAGGTATCTGTTGACATTCCACCTGGTTTGCAGATGCTTATCCCGTTGAGATATCGGAAGCCAGTACCTGGCATTGAGGGAGCGGCGGGGGTTTTGTTATCGCCGTCCACGGCTATATCGGGCGGCTCGGCGCTGGTTGGGGCACAAACGATTGTCCGGCCGGGCCAACCCCCGTTTTTACAAGTGCTGAATGGGAGTGCGGAGAATGTTAGCGTCCCGGCCGGAACGGTTTTGGCTCACGCCACGACCGCGTTCATGACCCATGACGACCGAGGCCGCCGGTACATGGTAGGGGGGGTTGCGGGGCCTACGGGGCAGGATGATCGTTGGGTTGCCGAGTTGTGCGGGGAGAATTCATCCCTGACCGGAGAACAACGGTCTGCGCTTCGTGCGCTGTTGCTTAGCTATTCCGACGTGTTTGCCAGGTACAGGCGCTGTCCGAGGTATCTGTTGACATTCCACCTGGTTTGCAGATGCTTATCCCGTTGAGATATCGGAAGCCAGTACCTGGCATTGAGGGAGCGGCGGGGGTTTTGTTATCGCCGTCCACGGCTATATCGGGCGGCTCGGCGCTGGTTGGGGCACAAACGATTGTCCGGCCGGGCCAACCCCCATTTTTACAAGTGCTGAATGGGAGTGCGGAGAATGTTAGCGTCCCGGCCGGAACGGTTTTGGCTCACGCCACGACCGCGTTCATGACCCATGACGACCGAGGCCGCCGGTACATGGTAGGGGGGGTTGCGGGGCCTACGGGGCAGGATGATCGTTGGGTTGCCGAGTTGTGCGGGGAGAATTCATCCCTGACCGGAGAACAACGGTCTGCGCTTCGTGCGCTGTTGCTTAGCTATTCCGACGTGTTCAGCTCGGATGATTTTGACTTGGGACGCACCTCCTTGCTTTCCCACCACATTGATACGGGGGACGCCGCTCCGATTCGGTTGAACTCGCATCGGTTGAGCCCGACGGAGCGGGATCAGGTTCGCGGTGCAGTGGAGGACATGCTGGCCACTGACATAATATCCCCGTCTAACAGTCCATGGGGCGCGCCGGTAGTCCTTGTGAAGAAGAAGGATGGGAAACTGCGATTTTGCGTCGATTTTCGAAAATTAAACAAGGTGTCCGTCGCAGACGCGTACCCCCTGCCGCGTATGGATGATTCCCTCGATGCCTTGTCCGGGGCGAAGTTTTTTTCAACGCTGGATCTCTCCTCGGGATTCTGGCAGCTTCCCCTCGATGAGTCCTCGAGGGAAAAGACGGCTTTCCGTACGCCGCAGGGATTGTTTCAGTTTAATTGCCTTCCGATGGGCTTGAATGCGGCCCCCGCCACTTTTCAGCGGTTGATGGAGCTGATGTTAATGGGTCTGCAGTGGGAGACATGTTTGATTTATTTAGACGATGTTATCGTCTTTAGCCGCACATTTGACGAACATTTACAGAGATTGGAGACGGTTTTTGCTAGGATGTGCTCCGCCAATCTAAAATTCAAACCAAAGAAGTGTCACCTACTGCAACGCTCCGTGCGTTATTTGGGACACATAGTTAGTGCGGACGGAGTGGCCACGGACCCAGAGAAGACGGCGTGCGTCCGCAACTGGCCAATCCCGGCCTCAGTTGGGGACGTACGTCGCTTCCTTGGGTTCGCCTCATATTATCGCAGGTTCGTTCCGAACTTTGCTATGATCGCTAGGCCCTTGCACCTCCTTACGGGTAAGGGTCGGAGGTTCAGTTGGGGACCGCCGAGGAAGCGGCGTTTGAGGGTCTACGCGATCGGTTGGCGACGGCGCCGACATTGGACTATCCGGATTTTGATCGACCTTTTATTCTGGGTACGGACGCTAGTGACACCGGGATCGGGGCCAATCTGTCACAGTCCAAGGGCGGCGTGGAACGCGTGGTAGCCTACGGTAGCCGTGTGCTGTCCCCGGCAGAAACCCACTACTGCGTTACTCGCCGCGAACTATTAGCTATTGTCTATTTTCTCCGCCAATATCGGCCGTATCTATACGGCCGTTCGTTTATTGTGCACACGGACCATGCGGCTCTGCAATATGCCCTGAGAGTTGACCAACCATCTGGCCAACTTGCACGATGGTTGGAGACCCTGCAGGAATTTTCCTTCGACATTCAATATCGGAAGGGGTCGCGTCACGCGAACGCGGACGCACTCTCCAGATTACCACAGGGGTCCCCGTGCGCTTGCGCGTCGGGTACGAATAGGTGTACGCCGGTTCAGCTACCCCCTCGGCCTGTCGTTTCAGCTGTCGAGGTGCCTGGGGCTCCGCTGTGCCCAGGACCGGCCGATGGGGTTCTGAACCTGCCACGCTCGGTATGGATTCGCGAACAATTGCTTGACGACTCGTTGGGGGCTTTACGGAGTCGGGCTGCGAAGGGAGGGGGGGGACTGCTGTCCGGTGGGACGCCGGGGGCCGCTCTCCGGGATGGTTTGCTCATGTGGAGGGAGGGGTTGCATGACCGCTGGCGTCTGGTGGTACCGTCGTCGTTACGGTAAGAATTGATTCGGACTCTGCACTGCGACACTTTATTACATCTCGGGGTGCAGAAAACTTTGTTAACATTGCAGCGAGACTACTTCTGGCACGGCATGACAACGGATGTCGTCGAACACATTCGGGCGTGTCCCGAGTGTGCCCGGCGGAAGCCGCCTAAAAACCCATATGTGCCGCCGGTGTAGTCTATACAGGTGTCTCGAATCAACGAGTTGGTGGCGCTGGATATTTTGGGACCTTTCCCGCCATCCGCTCGGGGTGGAATATATTTCCCGTTGGCCTATGGCTTGGCCCTTACCCGACCAGTTGGCGGCGTCTATCACGGACGCCTTCCTGTTTGGATATGTACTGGACAAAGGGGCACCGGAAAGGCTACTCACGGATCAGGGGCGAAATTTTTCTTATAAATTGTTGGCAGAAGTGTGCGCTGCTCTGGGAACCTAGAAGGTTCGTACATCTCCCTACCACCCTCAGACGGATGGCATGGTGGAACGGCTTAATCGGATGCTGTCGGCCATGCTATGTCACACGGTTGACGAGAAACAAGCTGATTGGGACTTGCATATACCTGGGGTACTCTCCACGTATCGGATGACGCCTCATGCGTCCACAGGGTATTCTCCATTTTTTCAAATGTACGGCCGCGAGAATGTGCCGCCGGTGGAAGTACAGCTGGGTACGGGGGCGAAGGGTCCTGTTAAGCCTCTCCCCGAGTACATTCAGGACACTGTTCGACGCGTCGCCGAGGCACGGGAGGGGGCCCGATTGGCTACTGCCAAGACTCAGGTGCGAAACGAGCGTTGCGCCCGGCGCTCGACCGGTAAATGCCCCTGGCGAGTGGGGGACATGGCATGGCTGCACTGCCCGCAGGTGCGGCCGGGGACCTCCCCTAAGCTTCACAAACCATGGCAAGGGCCGGTTAAGCTTATTGAAGTCCCTAACCCGCAGTCCGCGCGGGTTCGGTTCGGATCGCGGCGCTGGTACGTCCATACGTCTAGGTTGAAGCCCTACGTGGCCCCGCGGATGGATTCGTCATCTCCTGATGTTGCCTTGCCGGTGTCTGTTGCACCCGATGCACCTCTGCCCTTGCCTGTTGACCCTGCAAGCGCACCTGTCGTGCCTTCTACAGACGAACCAGCCGTGACGCAGGCGGATGCGGCTAATCCTGCTCTGGGTGGGCCTACCACGGCGACGGGGCCACTTGACCCCGCTGCCCCTCCAACCCTACCACAGACACGGTTGCGGGAGACCCTGGACTTGGGTCTCTCTGGGGAACGGGACCTTGGCATTGACGGGCCTCCAACAGCGGCGGGCGGTTCTACTCCCGTCGCTTATAAAACTCCGTTGCCTTCTCGGTCTGTGGGGGGGCCGCCGCCCGTTCGGGACGGGCCGGCGACCCGCACGCGTTCCAAATCCCTTTCCTTTCGTTGATTGTTTTCTTGTTATTGTTGTTCTTGTTATCGTTGTTATATTCTCCGTTGTCCGGTGATGCCAGATGGTTAAAATGTTGCTCGCATTATTTTATTATATTTATTGCAGCCGGGGACGGCTGGGTTTTCATCAGGGGGGGGGTCGTGTAATGCGAGCAAGGATTGAGGGGGGCGGAGTCTGGGTCACGTGAGGAGAGGGAGGAGTTAGGGTCACGTGGGAGAGAGGATTTAGGGAGAGAACCGGAAGGGGAACGGGGAGTTGAGACGGAGTGAAACGGGAGGAGGCCACGCTGGGCAGTACGGGGAGAGTGGCGCGGTCGCCACGCAGTGGGAAACGTCGGCACCGTCAGCCATCGGTGTCAGGACGCAGAGGGCTAGCGAGCGGTGGAAGGCTAGCTGCAGAGCGGAGCAGCAGTGAAGCTGCAGACGGAGCAGCGGTGTGGCTGCAGAACGAGCAGCAGAGTGGCTGTGGAGTGATCGTCGGGAGAGAAGCGGGCCTGAGCGAGGACGCCGTGTGAACGAGATTCTACGAACCCAAATAAAGGACAACGGAGATCGACATTGAGAAAGAGTCCTTTATTACATATGTAATGATGTAATGATTATCAACTTGTGTTTGAGATAGTAACAATTAATGGAACAAGATGCCAACTAAATACTTCATAAAACAAGCACATAACTCTTTTACAACAGTTTAAATATTTTTTTGCCTAATAAACATGATTCCGTATTAAAATGTCGCTCTTTAAATATGTTCTATAACCGATCATGCATGACCTGCAAACATTCTTGCTATTCATACATGTCTATGTACATTATTTTATGTTGGCCTAACCTTAGCTAAGGCATGAAGTTGACCCAACATCCGTTTTAAAGGTCGACGGATTTCCTCATCTCTGATTCCATAGAGGAAGGGGCTGAAGAATCTTGGCCAGACAAATAGCAAAAGGTAGACGACTGTTTTTAACGCAGACTTTAGTTCATATTTGCTCACAAACATTTCTATTAACAAGTAACATAACTGAATTGCAAAAGCACCCATGTACATTATTAATTGAACCATATGCAACAATACAGTATTTTTAGCCTTTGATGACTCAACCTGACTTGTACACGCTCGTTTAGCCACTTTAACAATACACACATACGTAGTTATAAGTGTAATAACACTACTTATAAATAAAATCACAAGCACCGAGGTCCTCACAGTTCCTAAAATGTGCCAAATTTGTGAATTGTCCTGTATATGCATACTGTCGCACATGTACATCGTATGTTCGAATGCCACGCGGTCACTTGAAATGAGATAACAGATTTCTGTTAATGGAAGAAGGAATGAAATAAACCAAATTACACCCAGGGATTGAAACGCGAACCTTTGAGTTATAATAGCATGATAACGCAGTGGGTGACATACGGCAACATAGCGCTCCACAGCCATCATTGTGATACAACAAATCCCATTGTTGAATAATCCTCTGTACAGATTCATGTAGATGCGGCAACCCCCAACATTAAAATAGGTTCTAGATAAATAAAATATTGACGCAATGGTAATAGAGAGTAAAAAAATGTTATCACAAATAACCAAGTTACACAAGTATATGTGCTTTACATTTGCTCTCAACGTAATTTCAGAGCAGATTGCATATATCATGCACGTAATAAACAGCATTGATGGTACAAGAGTTATGAGAATCAACATGTCACCAAGCGCGTCAACCACAACACGTACAATTCCGATAGCGTCATCATCTGTTGACTTGTTGACAGCGATGGAGAAGTTTGATGCCGCCATTATGTCTGGAAAAAACACACACATGCCAATACAAAAATCACTGCATATGTAAATATCTCAAGAACATGTATGATGCCGCCGCCACGAAGCCGTTCAGCAGGCGCCCCATCTACGACCTCGCCACCACCAAGCGACGGAGCCGACCCCGCGTCCCCCTCACCTCACCTCACATGAACACACCCGCACGCATTTTCCCCCCACCCATAGAGCTCCGAGGGGAGGTCACCTGACCGACCGGTTTTTATCCGAGAAACCCTTATCGGGATTAACTTTCACGGTTTCCGGCGACCAGGGAATTGGACGACCTCCCCCGATGCTACTTTACACCGCGGCGCTGCGACCGGCCTTAAGATGGTATGGTCGCGGCGAAGGGCATTCGGCCACCGCGGTTGAAACGCATCCCCCCACACACACCCCCACGGGTCGACGAGACAGGCAGAGGAGGGACGGGGCGGCATAGTTTAGGGTGCGCAATTGGTGGGGCAGGTGGTAGGGACATGCGGAGGCGCCGCGCTTAACTTCCACACTGCGTACAGGGAGAGGGAGCGGGCAGGGGGCCCACTACGAAGCCGCCACCCCTCCCCGGACGTGTTATGTGTGCGACCGTCGAGGGCATCTCAGGAGGGACTGCCCTCAGCTTGCCCGTGCGAGGCAGATGCATAGGTCAAACACTAAGGCCCCCCTAGAGAGGGGACCACCGGGGGATGAAATCAGCGTAGCCCTGACCCAAACAAGCTGTAATGATAATGGCGAGCGAGTGATCTCCACGCAGATTCCAGCAACGACACCAAGGAACGCGGCGACTCCTGGCGACTGGCTGCGGGAGCTGGTGGCGGGAATCACGGGGGCCACGTCGCTGGTGGAGGGGCAGGTCAACGGACGCCGTACCCAGATCTTGCTGGACACGGGAGCGGTGGTCTCGCTCGTGAGCGCGGCGCACTGAAGCACGATCGGGGTCGATGTGAGCCGCCTGCAGGCCCCGGACCGCGCGCTGCACACGGCGAGCAGAGCCGGAATGGGGCTGCTGGGGAGAGCCACCCTAGAGGTCCGCATAGGCAGCCAGGTGTGCACCCAGGAGTTCTACGTGTCGAGTGTGTTGTGTCACGAGTGTATTGCAGGTACCGACCTCCTAGAGAAGCTGGGACTCAACGTGCAACCCCGCCAGCGATGCGCCACCATGGAGAGCAACGGCGAGCGGATACCGTTCCTGGGACGAGAACCGACGCACCCCGCTTCACACCTGTGGCCGCTATCCTGGCGACGGCAGTCACCATCGGGCCGCTCACCGAGATCCTGGTGCCGGTAGCAACATCCCCCACCGACCCCGCGCTCCGACCTTCAGGGGAGGTAATGCTAACTCCTCACCCGGAGTTGGCAAAACGGTATGGGGTCGTGGGATCCGCCACGTTGGTAAACGCAGATGGGGACCGATTGTTTATGCAGATGTTTAACCCTCACAATACCCCAGCGATACTGCGACGGTGCACCCCGATCGCCACCGTACACCCCCTGCACGCACGCCACTCTGACGAATCGGTGTTCGCACTCTGGGCTGAGGACCCCGGTCGTCCTGAGGGGGACCAGGACCTGGCCTGGCGAGTCGGCCCGACTCCCCGAGCCGAGGTCGTCCCCCTGCTCGACGCGTTACATGTACCATGGGCGGATCTACCTAAGGGAGAGGCCGATCGGCTGTGCGAGTTACTGCAGGAGTATGCCGACATATTCAGTTAACACGACTCGGACGTGGGTCGGACCGACCTTGTTAAGCACCAAATTGACACCGGTGCAGCCCGACCCATCAAACTCCCTGCATACCGAGTGGGCGCACCCGAACGCGCCCAGATCAAAGAGGCAGTTGGGGACATGCTTCGCGATAACATAAATTCAGCCCTCGGCGAGCCCCTGGTCAGCCCCAGTGGTACTAGTAACGAAAAAGGATGGGTCAACCCGGTTCTGCGTCGATTACCGTAAACTGAACGCAGTCACGCTCGGCGACGCCTTCCCCATACCCCAGCATCGACGACACTTTTGACAGCCTCGCCGGAGCGCGATATTTTTCCACCCTCGATCTCGCGTCCGGGTACTGGCAGGTGGAGATGGCGGAGGAGGATCGGCCGAAAACTACATTCACCACCCCGATGGGACTATTCGAGTTTCGAGTACTCCCGTTCGGACTCACCAATGCGCCCGCGACGTTCCAGCGGCTGATGGAGTTGGTGATGCGGGGCTTGCAATGGGAACAGTGCCTGATTTACTTGGACGATGTGATAGTGTTCAGTAGATCTTTGTCTGAGCATTGGTCCAGGTTACGAGAGGTATTCCAGCGACTGCGAGCGGCTCATCTCAAGCTTAAGCCACGTAAGTGTTACAGCGCACAATGCGAGGTGGGGTACCTCGGGCATCACGTCAGCGAGGCAGGCGTACACACCGATCCGGAGAAGGTACACGCCGTAGTGGAGTGGCCACGGCCAAGGAATCTGACGGAGATCAGATCATTTTTGGGGCTCGCCACCTATTATCGTCGATTCGTAAAGGGATTCAGCGAGATTGCACGCCCCCGCACCCAACTCACTTCCCCTAAGCACCCCTATCAGTGGACGGGGGCCTGCCAGACGGCCTTCATCACTCTCAAAAACCACCTCACCCACGCCCCCACCCTCGCTTTCCCCGATTTTACCACCGATTTTATTTTGGACACCGATGCCTGCAGCAGCGGGCTGGGTGCGGTGTTGTCACAAGTGCAGGATGGGATGGAACGAGTCATCGCGTACGCCAGCCGGACCTTGAGTGGGGCCGAGCTGAACTATTGTGTGACCCGCCAAGAGTTGTACGCCGTGATTTTCGAATGTAAACAGTTCCGGCCGTATTTGTACGGCAGGAGATGTCGCGTACGCACTGACCATAATGCTCTGCAGTTTCTTCTTACATTCAAGGAGCCGCAGGGGCAGATGGCCCGGTGGCTGGCGCAGCTGCAGGAGTACAACCTGCAAATCGAGTATCGGGCTGGCCGGACGCATGCAAACGCGGACGCCTTGTCGAGGCGACCCACGGTGTACGCCGAAACAAGGGCGCAGGAGGCCTGGCCGTGTTTCACGGGGGGATGCTGCCGGCAGGCAACGGACCCCCGAAAGGCCGCGGCCACTGACCCCCCCCCCCCCCAGCAAGAGAGAGTGCAGTGTGCGCCACAGAGACCTTCACAGGTGGCACCGAGGATCCCGTCGACCGCCCGGCAAGCGCAGGACCCACGGCTCGGGACCCGGCGGATCACCCCGCCCCGATCGGACGGATCCAGGAGGACGTCGGCTGCTGCCTTCCCAGGCCTGAACGACGAGCAGCTGAGACAGACCCAGCAGCGGGATCCCGATCTGGCGGCGGTGGAGGCGGCACTGCGGGAGGAAAAGGGCGCCCTACCAGGACCCTGGAGCGGTTTGTATGGCCGGTTATGTGTGCAGAACGGGGTGGTACGGGAGTTAACCGAGGCCGGCCAGCCGGGGTGCATCTGTGTTCCTGCCCAGGTATGACCCCAGCTGCTACGGCTGGTGCATGACCACCCACTCGGGGGCCACGATGGGGAACGACGCACTCGAGAGACCCTGCGTCGCCAGTATCTCTGGCCCAAATTGGCACAAGACGTGGCCGCCTGGGTACAGGGCTGCCGCGCCTGTCAGCAGTGCGGGCCGAAACCGGCATGATACCAGGTACCCCTAATGCCGTTCCGCGTCAGCTGCAAGAACCAGCTGGTCGGGATCGACCTACAAGGGCCATTCCCACGGTCCCATCGAGGCAACCGGTATATCCTAGTCGCAGTAGAGTATTTCACCCGCTACCCCGTGGCAGTGGCCATCCCTGACAAAACGGCCCTGGTGGTAGCCCGGGCATTCGTGGAGCTTTACGTACTTAAGCACGGGATCCCAGAACGAGTCCTCACCGACCAGGGTAGCGAGTTCGAGGCCGAGCTGTTCCAGGCACTGTGCCGAGAATTCGGAATCCAGAAGGACCGAACCACAGCATACCACCCCCAGGCGAACGGTATGGTGGAGCGCATGAATCAGACCTTAGCGGGGAAACTCAAACGTATGGCGGCCGCAAATCAACGGGATTGGGACGAACACCTCCCCTACGCACTTGTCGCCTACGCCACCACCGTACACACGTCGACGGGACAAACCCCATTTTTGATGATGTTCGGCCGTGAGTCTCATTTACCCGCAGATCTGTTGTTCGGCGTTCCTTCCCCCCAGCCGGAGGAGGGAAGCCGCCCCGTGGAACACTTGATGGAGACCCTGCGAGAAGCCCGAGGCCGAGCATACCCGCAAGGGGAAGCCGCGCATCGGCGGCAAGAACAGGGCGCTCGACCCCGCATGGAACCCCCCTTATTCCTGACCGGCGCTAAGGTGTGGCTACACACCCCTCGCGTCGAGGCCGGGCAGGTGGGGAAACTGACGACCTACTGGCGAGGACCCTGGACCGTGGTACGGCAGATCTCCCCCTGGACGGTACTAATCTATGGCGGGGAGAGGGGTCGAGAGACGGTGGTCAACATCCGCCGCTTAAAACCATAGAAAGCGGCCCCGGCGAGAGAGAACCCCGTCGCCCGAAGGCCCCGAAATCCCGGGGTACCCGCACCCCTCATGTTGGGGGGCCTCGCACACTACATGGGCCCCACCGGGCCCCCGAGACGCCCCGATCCAGTCAGGAGACGACGCGGACGACGGCTCCTAAACCCTTCTGCTGCTGAGTTTGTGCCCCAGTCCGCGGGTACCTGAGGGACAGGGAGAGCCGCTGGAGTGGAGGAGGAGGCCGCCGCAGGAGCTACAGAGGATGGAGCCACCCGCCCCAAGACCAGCCACAAGATCCGGACGGATCCCCCGGACCCCGCAGCGTTTCCTCGTGGGCGCGGCCCAAGCAAGCTGCTCCAGTCAACCCGGGACGGGGACTGGCACCTCGGGGGGCTATGTGATGCCGCCACCACGAAGCCGTTCAGCAGGCGCCCCATCTACAACCTCGCCACCACCAAGCGACGGAGCCGACCCCGCGTCCCCCTCACCTCCCCTCACATGAACACACCCACACGCATTTTCCCCCCACCCATAGAGCTCTGAGGGGAGGTCACCTGACCGACCGGTTTTTATCCGAGAAACCCTTATCGGGATTAACTTTCACGGTTTCCGGCGACCAGGGAATTGGATGACCTCCCCCGACGCTACTTTACACCGCGGCGCTGCGACCGGCCTTAAGATGGTATGGTCGCGGCGAAGGGCATTCGGCCACCGCGGTTAAAACGCATCCCCCCACACACACCCCCACGGGTCGACGAGACAGGCAGAGGAGGGACGGGGCGGCATAGTTTAGGGTGCGCAATTGGTGGGGCAGGTGGTAGGGACATGCGGAGGCTCCGCGCTTAACTTCCACACATGCATGAGAAAGGGATTAATTAGAATTAACGCCGCACACGCAGCACATCCGATTAGCATATCAAAGGCGCCCGGAACCGCCGCACGCGCCCTGACGGGCACGCGCGCCCATTGTTAAAGAAACTGGAAGGGGAGCGACGACAGGCGGGGCAACATCCCTTTGATGTAGGGAGGATAAAAAGGGGGCGCAAAAGGGGAGATCTCTCTCTTACTCCAGCCCAGCGACCCGGGCGTCCGTGCGACGCATCGAGGTACACTGCTAGCACGGGATCAACGGACCGCCGTGGGCACCTAACAGTGAGTAAGGAGGTAAAAGTATTTCGTAAACAGGTAAATAGGGAATAGGTCCAGGGGTAATAGAATAGGCCAACCTCGTCGATCCATACTGACTCAACAACCAGTCCCAGGTAGCAAACAATAAATCGTTAATAGCCGATCAGTGTCCCCGTGTGATATCGCTGAGAAGTGGGAACGCGTGTGGTGCTGTGTACACAGCAGTTCGCCACGTGGGAGCGCTGCGTAGAGCGGCGCACGAGTGGGTGTCGCGTGTGTGCAGGTGTGTGCGCTCGTAGCGTGGGGGAAGGGGTCGGTGCGTCCACAGGTACTCGCTCCGTCTATCGCCGCAGGGACTCGCGCGCTGTGAGGGCAGCGTCATTCGCCCTCCGACCCCTGACCCCCGTTTAGAGCGCGTAATTGGTGGAGAAACCACGCAGCGTTTGCAGGTGAACGAGAGCGGGCGGCGAGTTATGCCTCTCACACGAGCGCGCGGAGGGATGGACCAGGGAGAGGAGCCGTCGGGCGATGAGCCCAGCGACGGCAGCAGCTGCTCGCAGAGTAGCGAGGGATCGGCGAACGGCGGAGCCCCTGCCATAGGCACGGAGCAGGGAGGGACTTCGGGGACCAGCGGCCCCGACACATGAATGAAACTAAGAGTTTGATAGTATCAGCGAGCTTTTTACGTAAAAACAAATGCATTTTACTAAAGTAAATGTCTGTTTATTCTTACAATTAAACTCCACAAATTGCATTATCAAACATGGAATTCACTTTTCAAATCTATCCTATCCAAATGTTCATAATCAATTTATCATCATACAGAATACGTGATCTATATTTATACCCATATCCATTGTTATACTTCCTGGCTCATACAATACAAATTGTATTTGTAGAGTGTTTATACGCAATTTCATCTTATTGTGCAATAGGGAAGAGGGGTATCTTAAATAATAGTACATGAAATTCTATTATCTTGCATAAACACCAAAATTAAAAGATTTCGACCATCTTGGAGGGCAGGCAAGGGAGCGAAGTGGCGCTAATGGTTTCTGTCTCAAGTTTTTATGTTCTCACCTTGTTCTGCATGAGATTCCTCTAGGTGCTCAGGTGTCGTCCCATATTTAAAAATCATTCAATGTAACTGGTATTTGCCAAATATCCAAATGGTGAAAAACATATCTGCACATTCTTCAATTCTGATTGCATATATCAGTGGTGCCGCATGCATGTTATCCAGCACTGAGGCGAGCGTTGATGAATCGCATATATTTTGTGCAACTCCCTTCCCCAGTCGCCAGGAGAAGGCAGTACATTAAGCACGTGGTGCCCCCTCACGTGCATGGGTTTTCTCCGGGTAATCTGTTTTTTCCTACACGTATAAACACTCATGAGTTGTCTGAAAACACTTCAAATAAAACCCAAAGCAGGACCCGTCTGAAAAATAATACAGTGTAGTTCTCCAGAATAAATAAATAAATATTTTTTAAAAATTCTGCCGATTTCAATACTTGGCAGGACCCTCCTGAACAGGAGTCTTGAGACTTAAAATAGGAAAACACAAAGTTCAATGCCATCGGATCAGGGTTAAGGTATAATATAAATGTACACACCTAAAGGCTGAATTAAAGCAGGGGAAATTCGCCAGCAATGCACAGGACCATAAGCAGGGGATTACAGAGGGAGTTGAAAAAGTAAATAAGCCACCAGTCATCAGGCGGAGGATGAATGGTTAATAAGTATGCAAAGGAAGAGCATGAAATGCCAAAAACAGGAAGTAAGTCCTTGAGAATGAGACAAGTGGTTATGCTTGTATGTAAGAATGAGATTCCTGGTAATGTCATTCGATTGCTCATTTTTTTTTCATGTGACCAAGTAAGCCACTCCCATGTTTTAAACAAATGAGAAATGATACCTTTTGTTGGAGTAGGTTGAAGCCAGTGAAGGGTAAACAAATAATCGAGGCAACAAAAAAAGATTAGACGTGAGTTGGTGTTTATATGGTAGCATCATTTAAATGGTGGTCACAGTTGAAGCTGGGATGATTTTCCCGGGTGGAATTAGATAAATTGAAAGACACAACAGACGCCTGTGATTTCCATAGCAAAACAGACAATAGTGGGCTTCAGGAGTCATAACATTACCTAAAGTAGAATCATACACGTTTTTTGAAACTCTTGTATCAGGTCACTTCAGCTATGCACTTTTAAATCTAAATTAGAAAACTATATTTTTTAGAACTGATTTTGTGTTTAATTTGTTTGTCCTTCCCCGCACTTACAATTAATACGGTTGGCTATGTACGGTGTGAAAGAAGTTAAACATGCATACACAAAGTCTTGAAAAATATTTTGGAGGATAGCGCGGTCACTTAAATTAAAATATTGAGGTCTAAACGACGAGACTTGACCTCCACATATCAGAAGATATGAGGGCATTACATTCATGAAATGCCCACATACGTTTTGGTATTATTTTAGTATTTTGTTCATCCCTGCTGGGACCCTGGTGTGGGGCTTGGTGTTAAGCCTGTCTGCCTGGGAGCTGAATTTCTGCAGCTCAACTCTGGAGTGTGCTCACATCCCGGCCTGGCCCTAGTGACGGCTGTCTGCCTTTGGAACGGCTCTGCTTGCGTTTGCCGCACATCTCCAATGCAACTCTGGTTACTGCAGTTCATCTCTGTTGATCCTCTATTTCTAGGGCCCTGATGGGACCTGCCTGCCTACATTTAATCTCTGTAGTGTGCCGTGTTCCACTGGGGTTTTGGTAGGAGTTTGTTATTTGCTGCTTTCTACCTGCAGCTGCCTCCTCCAGCGAATGTTACCTACGTACATACATATGTGCCAACTCAACTGTACAGCTTTCCTGCTGTTTTAACCCACAGCGTACAATCAACCCTAAACTGGCCTCTACCCCCAGCTAGTGCTAGCTGTCTATCCTGGTTCTGTTTGTTGCTTACCATGCATGGTACATTGGAATCTACGGATGAAATGCGCCTTACAAATGTAAATTATTACTATTTTTACGGGGTTTCTTTAGGTGCTGTCTGCTTGCTGCTCAACCCTGCATGCCAACTGCTCAATTTGTACTGTGCTGATTTCCGCTGCTGGGACTCCACTGAGACTCCTTCTCGTGGCTTAGTTCTGTGGTATATCTATGTGTGTAGTGTGGTAAAATACGCGGTGTGCACTGTTGGCCGAGGGCAACCGAGGGCAGGCAGGTGCGCGTGTGCAACGTGAAGTTGCACGAGCAAACCTCCACCTCATTAAGGGGAGAATCGGGTGCAGACGGGGTCGGCCCGGGGTTGAACGCTGACACCGAAGGTGTTGCCAGGGAGACGTGCGATAAGAGGTGATTGATGGCCTGACAGGCGCCAGCCTATCGGCCCTAAAGAGACACATGGGAGGAGCTGGACGATTTGGAGGGGGATATAAGGAGGCGTGTGAGAGCGGAGCGGGAGTTCGTGTTGCTGGGGACCAGAGAGAGAAGACGTCTCGCCGCTGCCGCTCAAGCGGGGAACGGACCTCAACCCTCACGAGTCGCCGGGCGGGTGATGGTTGATCCCCCGTCTGGGTCGGACGAGTGAGTGGGTCTGAGGGAACGTAGGCTGTGTGAGCGCTGCTGTATGCAAGCCTCTGTGTGAGCGAAACTGGGTGCAAGCCTCTGTGTGAGCGCTGTTGTGTGCAAGCCTCTGTATGAGCGCTGCTGTGTGCAGAGCATTGAGTGCGGAGCTGCTCAGAGCAAGAGCTGCTGTGTGCAAAGCCTTGAGTGCGGAGCTGCCGAGAGCGAGAGCTGCTGTGTGCAGGTTAGTGAAGTGTAGCGTAGATAAGAGTGGGAATTAGTAAACAGAAGTGACCATAGCGACAGTGATAGGAGTGCCTACAACTGGTGCAAGAATAGGCTAATAAAGTGTAAGCAGGTGACTTGTTACAACGTGTCAGTCTGAGTGATTTACAAGATGCTACATATGTGAATTGAGGTATCAGCACAGCGGAGGTGCCCACACCTTGAATAACTCTGAATTGCTTTGTACAGACACTGAAGATTGTTGGTTTTTATATTCGTATATGTTATAGTATGGTGACGTAATTTATATAAGCAATGAAACAGTCCACCTGTTTCGTTCCTTATATAGAGGCGTAGATGTGGTGACCACACTTCTGCGCTCTTGGGCAAGGTGGGGGGTGGGGGGATTAACGAGTCAACGTACATTATGCATACACATTATGCGAGCCCGTTGATATTCTCCACAAATCTGGTTGTCGTCTGATTAAGCTAGTTGTAATTACTGGCGAAAAGTAGTACTCAGATTGCAAATGTCGTGGCTTGGCTCTCCAACACACCAGCGTGCTGTACTAGTTACGAATTGGCATGTTTTGTTTACGTGACAACGTTTACTAGTCGGGTGGTGGCGGGTTTAATGACACATTTATATTTGTACGCGATCTAACCCAAACAACTCTATTATGGATGATATTGGTCACGAAAGCCTACGTGTTCAACTATACGTGCCATGTCTATAAAACCCACACACACTCATGACACAAACTAAGGCTAGTAGCGGGTAGTTTGCGATAAACTACCTCAGGGCGTGACGAACCTGCCTTACGCGAGTATCAGGCACAGCTGGCCCTGCTGTCAGTACCTGATAAGGGCCCCTCCCAGGTTTACGCGGGTTTCTCACTGCCTTGTGAGTGTCTCGGGAGAGTCAATAGCTAAAGGAGTAAACCCCTACAGAAAATCAGAAGTGGGGCCCCTTAGGCAGTTTTGTGACGCACCGCGGCACATTCTCGGCAGCCCCTGCAGCCAAACTAGTACGAGGGGGGGATCCTGATGCATGGGCAACCCAAGATTTCTAGAATAACTTGCCCAGGCTTTGCGCCAGCAAGAGATGCAAAAATGGGGAGAGGACACTCCTCGGCCACCTAATCGTGGCCAAGAAACACGGATGGCAGCAGTCACGGGTTATACTTTTGGATTGGCGTACAAGATGGGCGCCACGGGTTGCCATCGTTGGTGGGAGGGGTCATTGCACCCCAAAGGATAGCTATCACCCACCTCAAGCTGGGCAACCCCCGGCCAATAAGGTGCTTTCCTGCCATGGCTCACCTGCTCCAATGGGTGCTTGGAGCTTATGGTTCATCACCAGACAAGTGGGCTGCAACACCTGCACCAGACAAAAGCAAAACAAAAGGAAAGAAGGTACCAGCCCTTCATTTTGCAAGCTGGAATGTACATACAATGTGTTCTGTACTCTCCGAAGATCTATTGCAGATTGAGGACATCCGCAAGACTGCAGTTAATGACAGAGAGCTGGCGAGACTCCATGTGGATATTGCAGCACTGCAGGAGACCCGGCTGGCTGGCAGTGGCTCACTACAAGAGAGTGACTACACTTTCTACTGGCAAGGCAAACAGCAGAATGAACCAAGGCAATACGGTTGGGTTCGCCGTCAAAAACACACTCCTTGGCATGATAGAACCACCAACCACAGACTCTGAGCAGATTCTGCTCATGAGATTGCTCACTGCTTCTGGCCATGTAAACATCCTGAGTGTCTATGCCCAACACTCTACTCACCTCCGGAGATTCATGACCAGTTCTATGAAGAGCTTCACAAAATTATTCGCAAAATGCACAGCTCTGAGCACATGTTTCTTTTGGGAGACTTCAATGCAAGGGTTGGGGCTGACTACGATACATGGCCCGCATGCCTTGGCTATCATGGCATCGGAAAGATGAATGCCAGTGGCCAAAGACTACTGGAGCTCTGCTCATACCACAATCTCTGTATCACAAACTCATTCTTTCTCACACAACCATGCCATAAAGTATCATGGAGACATCCAAGGTCTCTTAATTGGCACCGCCTGGACCTCGTCATCACCCAACGAGCCCTCCTCAACTCAGTACTCATTACACGCAGCTACCACGGTGCAGTCTGTAACACCGGTCACTCGCTGGTATCCAGCAAGGTCAGACTACGCCCCAAAAAGATACACCGCCTCAAACAAAAACGCTACCTATGCATCAACTCTGCCAAGACCTCCCTCCCAGAGCTCACTCAATCATTCCAACACATCCTTGAGCAGTCCCTACACGACACACCATATGGAAGCGTGGAGACAAAGTGGGCATACATCAGAGACGCCATCTTCAATGCAGCCATCAATACCTTCGGCAAGCAGACAAGGCGGAACACAGACTGGTTTGAAGAACACCTGGCTATATTGGAACCCATCTTCCAAGCCAAGAGCATGGTGCTCCTGAAGTACAAGCAAGTCCCAAGTACATGATCATTAAGGGCTTTGAAAGCTGCCCGCAGTGCAGCTCAAACGACCGCCAGATGCTGTGCCAACAACTACTGGCTGAACCTCAGCAGTAGGATCCAACTCGCCTCTGACACTGATAATATCCATGCCATGTGTAGAGGAGTAGAAGAGAGTGGTGGCATCATGTGCGCTGTCCGGTGCGATGGCGTCACGAGATGGGGTCATGCGCGCTGGACAGTGCACATGACGACACAGCTCCTCGAGGGTAAAGGGGGGACCCCGTGACGTAAGCGGGGTCGTAGTTGGAGTCAAAGGTCGAGAGAGGGTGAAACGGGGAGCCAGGAGCAAGAGGGTAGGGATAGTGGATATAGCACAGCACCAGGGCTGGACGTGGCTGTGCTCCTCGGTCGGCCGTGTTGGATGATCCCACGGCCGGAGCAGAGGAGACAGCATAGGGCAGCCGGCTGTGTTGGGACCCAGTGGGACCTAGCCCGGGACCCCTAACCCCTGGGAAGTGGTTCACCCCCCCCGTGTCTTGTGTAGCCCTTAATAAACGGCGAAAGCCCTTAACCTCACCTCCGTCTCTGAGTGAGTCGTCGCCTGCTCCTCAACACATGTATGAAGGCATCAAAACAGCCTTTGGTCCAAACATCAGGAGGACTGCTCCCCTGAAATCCAGCACAGGGTCCATCATCACTGATAAACAAGAGCAAATGGCCAGGTGGGTAGAACACTACTGAGAGTTCTACTCATAAGACAAAGGTGTGTCAGAAGCTGCCCTTGCTGCTGTAAAGCCCCTACCAATCAATGATACACAAACTGGACAATGTTCCAACCTTGAATGAACTTGACAACGCCATCAACTCACTAGTCAGTGGCAAGTCCCCGGGACAGGACGGCATCACACCTGAGGTACTGAAATGTGCGAAACCCGCCATCCTCACAAAACTCCATGAACTTATCTGCCAGTGCTGGGAAGAAGGAGCAGTGCCTCGAGACATGAGAGACTCCAACATCATCACCCTATATAAAAACAAGGGTGACCATGGGAACTGCAATAACTACCATGGCATCTTCCTGCTGAGCATCGTGTGGAAAACCTTTGCCCGTGTGGTCCTCAGCAGGTTACAGATGTAATGCGAGCAAGGACAAGGTGCTTGCCGGCCTCTGCACCGCTCACACGCGCCGGTGTAGTGAGAGCGTGTGGGAGGGGCCACTGCTCGCCTCGCTCCAATGGGAGCGGGGTGAACGGGGGGGCGGAGGCAGAGGCAGGATGGAAGGTGGAGTTGGGTCACGTGGGAGAGGGGGATATAAGAGGAGGGCCGGAAGGAGAAGGGGAGGAGAGAGGAGAGAGAGAGAACCAAAGTGGGATCCATGCAGGAGGGTGGAAAGAGCCGTGGCGCCATCGCCACGTGGTCGAGAAGGGATAGGCGCCCACGGGAAGGCAGAGTGCGTGAGGAGCGCCTAGACAGGGGAGCATGCAGGATCGCACGAAGAGAGACAGGGGAGCTTGCAGGATTGCACGGAGAGAGACACAGAATGGAGCATGTGCGGAGTACCCGAAGGGCGGTGTGGCCGGGCCGGGTGAGGGAGAGCACACGGAAGGGAGCCAGGTGACGGCATGGGCGAGAGCCACAGGGGAGAGTGCGTGGGGCGCACGGACGTACGGAAGGCGAGGCCGGAACGAGGAACGGCGGGTGCGTGGAAGAACCCAATTAAGGACACGGAGAACAACGAAGTGTGAAGGAGTCCTTTATTACACAGATACTAGCTGAGAGGACGTATCCTGACGCTCAGTGTAGTTTCAGAGCAGGGAGATCCACAATTGACATGCTCTTCTTTTTGCATCAGCTACAGGATACATTTTGAGAACAGAGAATGCCCCTGTACTTGGCATTCATTGATCTTACAAAGTTATTTGACCTCATCAGTAGGAGAGGCCTCTTCAAACTCATCAAAGTGATTGGCTGCCCACCGAAGCTGCTGGCAGTCATCTCCTCTTTCCATGACAACATGAAAGGAACAATACAGCACAGCGGCACCACCTCAGAAGAATTTCCCATACTCAGCGGTGTAAAGTAGGGGTGCGTGCTTGCCCCAACACTGTTTGGCATCTTTTTCTCAATTATGCTCACACATTCCTTTGGGACAGCAGAAGGGGGAGTCTTTCTCCATACAAGATCTGGCAAACTCTTCAACCTTGGCCATCTCAGATACAAAATCAAAGTCCGCAAAGTCTTCATCAGAGAACTCTTATTCGATGATGATGCCGCGTTGACGGCTCACACAGAACAAGGTCTGCAGACACTCATCGACCACCTTACCAATGCCTGACAATCAGTCTGATCAAGACCAATATCATGGGCCAGGATGTCAGAGAAACCCCTTCCATAAACATTGGCAGCTATACCCTGGAAGCCATTCAGGACTCCACCTACTTGGGTTCCACCATCACCTGCAATTTGTCCCTTGTCACAGAGATTGACAAGCGCATTGAGAAGGCATCTACAGCTATGTTCAGGTTGACCAAAAGAGTGTGGGAGAACAAATCCCTAATGCTCAACACCAAAGTACAGGTGTACTGGGCCTGTGTCCTTAGCACACTCCTCTATATCCTGGGCAAAATACGCCCATCAAGAACATCGACTAAACACATTCCACCTCTGATGTCTCAGGCGCATCCTCTGTATCAGATGGCAAGATCGCATTCCCAACACCCCAGTCCTCAACTTGGCCAACATTCCCAGCATGTACTCTCTACTCAGTCATAGGCGCCTGAGATGGCTTGGACACGTGCGCCGCATGCAGGATGGCACAATACCCAAGGATGTCTTGTACGGCGAGCTGGCAACAGGCACACGGGCCACTGGTCACCCAGTCCTGCACTTAAAAGATGTCTGTAAATGGGACATGAAGAGCTGCGACATCAATCCAAGTGACTGGGAGAAAACTGCCGGCGACCAACTTTGCTGGCAGCAGGCTGTGAAAACAGGCCTCAGGAGAGGCGAGGAGAAAATAAACACTGCTTGGCAGACCAAGAGGGAGCGACGTAAATTAAAAGCAATAAATACCTCTGGAGCTGCCACCGCATTCACTTGCAATTGCTGTGGAAAGGATTGTCACTCAAGGATTGGCCTACTAAGTCATTCTTGGCGCTGCAAAACCTACAGCTGACCTCGTAAGCTGAAAAATAATTGTCTATCGAGACACACAGGCCTATGAATGAATAAAGTCTTAAAGAGTGTTAGACCTAGATTTGAAGTTTTCGTGACTACAGGGATCCATACTTTTTGGTTCTTTCGGTAAAGTCACGTAGGTATAAAATAAATTAAATCACGACGTTTCTGGTGCAACACAAGCGTCCGTCATCAGGTGAGACAACCACAGCAAGAAACAATTGCTGAAGTGGGCAAAAGGGCTGCTGTAACAAGAGGTTATATAGGTAAGCGAGGGGGAAGAGCAAGGGGGGAGCGATAGAGAAGGCGGGGTGTGGGTTAGGGGGAGGGGGTGCTGCGAGAACGTTGAGAGGAAGAGCAGACAAAATGCCGGGGGGGGGGGGGGGGGGGAAGTTATGTCTATGTTTATATATTTTGATGGCTTCATGAACAAACCTCTGATAGTAGCCTGAAGGTTTGCAGAGTACCTTAGGTCTCGAAAAAAACAACATCATGAGAGCCCACAGCGTTATAGCAATGGTCAACCACGGTGGAGGTATTAGTTCTGCCGTGTTTCAGATATGACTTGTGCTCGCGAACACGGTCCGAGATATGTCGTTTTGTTTCCTCAATGTAACACCCATCACAGGTGCAACTTAGTTTGAAGACTCCAGGATATTGCATGACAGGAATGACATCCTTCACAGATGGGATTAGATCATGGATTTTGTGTATTGTA